GTATTTGAAGCAGAAACGTGTCAGCATGTACAGGTATGTACAGTACACATGCACATTGAATTTATATGTAAAAACATTTATAAACATTATATATTGTTATATTTATGTTTTTTATATATTTATATATTTTTAAATGGCTATTTACATATATACACCAGTAAAAGACTGGAATTTTGGAGGATTTTTAAGATTAAATCTTCATTATTACTCTTATTAAAAACAGTAATATTGTGGAATATTATTACAATTTAAAAAGAACTGTATTTTAAGATTTTAAAATGTGAATTATTACTGAAACTTCAATGTCATGTGATCCTTCAGAAATCATTCTAATGCTGAATTGGGTTTTTATTATTATCAATGCTGAAAAAGTTTTTGCGGCTTAATATAAAAAAAAAATCTAATAGAACAGACTGATGGAGAAAGTAAAAAAAAATATTTGAAATATAAGTGTTGTGTAATATTATACATTTCTTTAAATCAATTTAATACTTCTTTGCTTACTAAACATTCATTACTTTCTTTTTCTTTGTTTTAAATCTTATTTACCCAATTTTTTGATTTTTGTATGGTAGTTTATTGCAGCTGCAGTTTATATATGATATATATAATATATATATATATATATGTATATATATGTATAATGTCATAAGTAGAATCTACTTTTGGATTTATAATTACCTTTTAAAGATTATATATCAGTGTGCAATCGAATATCAATGCAATAATTTCCTGAGTGCTTTTTGTCATCACTGGCTAAATTATTCATGAAAATGCGCATGTGATGACTTCTTTCAACATGTCAGCCTGCATGTGTACTTCATTTGCATGAAAAACTAGTCATACAAAACACTACCAACCAAAATACTTTGACATCCTTTGGTGCCAATAAAATAAATTAATCTCCATGACAGGCCTCCACAAACCTTTTTCCGTCGCTACAAATACAGTAGCAATTTATGGCTTGTGTCATTTCGTAAGCGGTTGAATAGAGAGACAGTCATAAATAACAGTAAGTGATAGCTGACATTCAAAGGTGAGCGGGCAGTGAAAGTGATTGGAATATGAAGGTCTGGGCCTTATAAAGCTCATCTAGCCCTGGAGCACTGAGACTGATCCCTCATTCAGCTATCTATTAAGTTTAAGTGCTGACAGACAGACTCAAAGCCTTTCCAAAACACTTGATGAACTTCTTGTGTTGATCGTTTTCCCATCGGTTGAATCACTTTATGTTTTGAAGAGTTATAATGCTGGGCCACAGTCAAAGTGAAGCAAACGTTTTTGAAGATGAGGTATTCCTTTTTCTACCTTTATGACCTTGGTTGCATCAGCCATGCACAAGTTACAACTTAGCTTAAGTGTTGCATAAGCTGGCAACTTCCGGAGCACAAACACTGACAGTGACTGAATCGCTGGAGATTTCCATGTGTCTCAGGGATATTGGTTGCTAATATAGCTACTGCTGCATCTAACTGTGAAAGATGCAAGATCCATGTCTACAATCACAATAGCAGTTGGCCCCTGCTCATTTGCATAAAGTCAAACCTTGCAATAACATTCAAATTTCTATAAATAATTAAAAAACTAAATAGAATGAGCCTATTTGACATTTGAGAAATATATATAATTTATATTAATGAGTTTTATTTGAATCAAATAAAAGTTGATGTCATTAAGAAAAATAACAATTAGTATACATAAAGCTTATGACCTTTCAGATAAATCTGGCCTTAGCAAATTATTTATATAAAAAGCATCAAGTTAGAGGTTGTCAAACTGCACAAAATCACGAGAGAGCTGCCTATAACTTGTAAAAATGTGTAATATTTTGGTCCTCACATCAATGACCATCAACAGGGTTCTACTGACCAGGTGAATTTGACCAATTACACATGAGATTCCTTTATTTACCCAATGCATGAGAGAAAAACTTATCAAAACCTCAAGGTGACGGCTTCAATATCCTAGTCCGGAATCAAACTTTTTATTTTTAACTTTTCCCTCAAGCAAGCACTGCTATTACGGGACAAATATGGAGAGAACAATGCAATCAATCACACAGACACCTGCCGCAACAAGCTTTGGGACAGAGCTCAGGGCTGCGGGCCTATTTCACAACACAGCCTGTCTGGAAGTTATGCTTACAGTCCACACTAACAAGAAGTGGACAAAAGACCTTCTGAGGCTTCATTCAAATTCGCAAAATGCTTATAAAAATCCCATCATTTACTCACCTTCATATCTTTCAAAATCTTGAAAAGATGTTGTGATGTTTTCCAAAATGAGCATATCAACTGATTGCCAGAGACTGCAGGCTAGGAACATGAGAAACATTTTTTCCCACGCAAATTTCCGTCAGTCAAGTTGCTGTCTTCTCCTTCTTCTTTTAATGTTTTATGGCGGTTGGCAAACCAGCTTATGTGCATATTCCGCCACCTACTATGATGGAGTGTGAGGTAATGATATCAAGGGAAATAATAATAATAATTAAAAAAAACTACATTTTGTTATATAACTTTATTTTCAGGAAATGTATAAGAGCTTTGTTCAGTCACGTGTCTCATATCCTCTCAGATGTTCAGAACCAAACTACAGATGCCAGTTCGCGAATGAATTACTGTACTTTTTTGGGGTTCTTTTCGATTAATCTTTCAAAATCAAGCGGTTTGAATAGGTTTGTGATTCACTTATGACTCGGAAGGCTAATGCCGAGTTCACACTGCATGATTTTCAAACTTGTCAGATCGCCATTGTTTTCACACTGCGCGACTATCTGGGGTAGCATTCAGTCGCTGCTGTGTTCACATTGCACGATGGATCGGCGACAGGGGGTTTCACACTGCATGACTTCACAATAGGAAGAATCGCCGACAGCTCTGTCTGGTCCGCAAACTACGTTTCACAACAAAACACACGCGAGAAGTGATAAGGAAATAACGAGAGAACCCGCGTGCGTCAGACCGGAGTTCTTGAGAGAGACTGGAATTATTAAAAAAAATATATATAGCTATATGTGAGCTGATTTCCAGCTAAAAGGAGAAAAAGAAAAACAGATTATACAGGAGGGAGATGCAGGGAACAGGGATTGGGTGTTCTGCAAAGAGAGTTGGAGGTAAATAATTTTGCAGTAAC